CCCCTGGCAGAGCGGTGAAGCTGAAAAGTCCTTGGCTGGTGTAAGCACTGCTCAGCAAAACCTAAACCATCAGTGTGCTATCTACATTCTTCTCATACTAAATCCAAATCACAGCAATGTGCCAGCTTCTAGGAAGAAAACCAACTCTATCCCAGCCGAAACCAGGACAACACCTAAGGCTTGATTTTTATTATTAAGCCCTAAATGTCTGCTTTTGCAGATCTGAGCAACAGGAAAAAAAACAGGAAAGACAAAGGGGGCTTGTGGACTTTATGAAAACATATTCTTATGAATGCCTGAACCCATAACAAGAAAAGAACAAAAAAGAGTATTTGGGAAGTAGATGTTTTATTCATATTCACTTATGTACATGGCTGTGTTCCAAGCTGAAAAATATTAGAAAAATATGAATCTCCTGAAGCATTGCTGTGCTGCCACCTGCGGATGTTTCTGAAGTATTGTTTTGCTCTTTTGGTGGGATACTAGTGATTAGAGTTCTGTGGGAAATGTGTTTTTTCTTTTGCAGTGAAAACCTGAGAGTTCACAAAGTTTATTTTGTGATTCAAAAGTAGAAGAATGAAAGTAAACGTTCTACTTAAAAACATTTCAAAAAACCCCCCCCCCCCCCCCCCCATTTTCATTTTTGTGTTTTTTTCCATCAGTGTGATTATACATACTTGACTTTTGAATAACAGCTGTTGAGAGCTTTGCAATGTGGTATTTCAGCAACTTGCTTTCTTCAGGAAGTTGATTAACATTCCCTCTACAGTTACTTATGGCTAGGAGTTTATCCAGACAAAACATAATCATTTACTTTACACCTGTCTATCCTACTTTTGCTTGAAGCACTTCGTGTCAGATGCGGTGACAAGAACTCAGCTAACAAACCCCCCCTTTAACCCAAACTCTGTATGGCTATTGCAACTGAAACAGAGCACTAAAAACTTAATATCTTTCATCAAAACCTGAAATGACTTTTTTTCCTGTTACCTGGGTCTTTCTTTCAGTCAGTCACCTCTTGGGTCTTTTATTAGAAAGCTGAAATGAGAAATCGCAATGTCCCTTGCATAAAAACGTAACTAAGTAGGACAGCTGAAGAACCATGATACTTGTAGGAACACTCGATATTTAGCTCAATTTCATGATCTTATTGTCTGCTTCTCATTTCCCCAGTTCACTGGCATAACAGATAATGATGTTTGCTTTGCTTTGAAATTTTATTTTTACAGTTATTTCTATGTATTATCTCTTCTGGGATGTGAATAAATGTTTCCTTATTACCTTAGGATCATAGGATAATTTGGGTTAGAAGGAACTTCAGGAGGTTTCTAGTGCAACCTCCTGCTCAAAGGAAGGTCGGCTCTGAGGTCAGACCAGGTTGTCCAGGGCTTTATCCAACTGGGTCTTGAAAACCTCCAAGAAGGCTGCAACAGCCTTGCAGCTCCACTGCTTGACTGTTCTTACACTGAAAACTTTTTTCTTTATATCCTTAAGCTCTCTTTTTTCAACTTGGGCCCATTGCTTCTTGTCCTCCTGTCACGGACGGAGTGAGAGGGAGGCAAAAATAATGTGGTTTATTGGTGTAAAACAGTGAGTTAACAAAGTTCAGTGGTAACTGTGACAATAGTTTGAGATTTGATGGCAAGGTACACTTTGTTATTTACTGCACAGAGGACAGGGTCAGACAAGACTGTCAGGGAGACCCTCCCGTTGAGTCATGAGGTTCAGAAAAGATCCCCTTGCTTTCTAAACTCCCTCAGAGAGGAGTCTAGGTGCAGCTGGATCCAATCCTAGTCCCAGACTTGGTCAAC